CTTCCTCTTCTCTTTTGGTTGCCGTCAAAATTACCCCTTGACGTATCGGGACCGTATCTATCGATGGAGTATAGGATACGTAACAATGCCGTATCGGATACATAACGATGCCGTATGAGTCAAACATGAACAATTTATGATATCTCGTTCTGTAGGTGAAGGACCCGCTGGTCATCTCTCTGCTCCTCCTCCTCCCACTCAAGCAAAGGTGAACGGTCATGGTGGTCCAGGCGGCCAAAGATGAAGCCTACCTCAAGGCTGTCATTCCCAAACGCATCAAACTCTTTGAGTCCATCTAGGCAGAGCAACGTGCTGCTCGACAGTCTCTCCCTTCTTTCGATCCTATCAGGTAAACCCTAAACCCTAAACCCTTTAACGTGAGTAACGTGAGTACCAAGCAACTCCTAAAGTGAGGATTTTTTAGGATTACATTGTCGGACGGGAAGGTGAAGGAGGGCAAGAAGTGGATAACTTCCCCATTTGAAATTGCAAGTGAGATTTCAAAGAGTTTGGCTTCAAATGCTTTGATTTCTGAGGTCAATGGGGTTATATGGGACATGAACAGGCCTTTGGAGGGCGATGCTGAGCTTAGGCTCTACACATTGGACTCATTCGACAACAATGAGGATGTACGCCACACTTTCTGGCATTCTAGCTCCCACATTCTTGGCAGGTAGGTACCAAGAGTTATTGCCGAGATTTTTGGTTTGGTTTTGGTTTACTGTATTGATTTGATTTGGATCGGATGCATAACAAGTTTCCATACCGTGCAGGCACTTGAGGTGGAGTACGGATGCAGGCTCTGCATCGGTCCGTGTGCCAGAATTGAAACAAGACACGATATGTGTGCCACAAGCAAAGAGGTTTTTAAATGATAGTTGTTAATATAAATGTAAAGAGGTTTTTGCCTTCTTCTTTGGTTGACCAATATGTTGCCTGGAATTTTGGTTGGGTATGTGGTTTCCTTCGCGTGCAATTCAACTACTAGGATAGTTCAAGTTTTGTGATCCCAGTTTTGAGAAGATGTTTTCTTTTTATGGTCTTCAAAAATATATTTCGCGGTTTTTGCTATGTGTTTTTGTAGTTTCTCATTTGGTTCCCTTATGGAATGATTGAATGCAATCGCAGGGTTTCTACTATGATGCATTTTATGGAGATTTTGGCATGAATGATGAACACTTTAAGCAAATCGAATCATGGACAGAGAAGGCTGTTAAGGTGTTGTTTGTTTTCTTGTAATAGAATTCATGTAAACTTGTTGTATGGAGGAAACTGTTGCTCCTTCATTTCTTGTTATGAATCCTTGACTGGTTAGTTGTAATATATTTCCCCAGGGGAAACAACCTTTTGAACGCATTGAAGTATCAAGGGAACAAGCCCTTGAGAGGTTTTGTGATAATAAATTCAAGGTAAGGGAAGGTGCTTAGTTTAGTTTCTAATCAATAGAATGATTTTCTTTTTAAAACTACTTCTCATACATGCATTCAAAATTGATTTAAGATTTATTTTTGCTTAGGTTGAAATCATCAATGGTCTTCCAGCGGACAAAACTATAACTGTATATAGATGTGGCCCTTTGGTTGACTTTTGTCGTGGACCCCATATACCAAATACATCATTTGTGAAAGCATTTAAATGTTTGAAGGTATGTGTTCTTTGTATGTTAGAGCCGTGGTTTGTAAGATTTTCTTTCATCTTATTATTAATGTATTTAACTCATGAATTTGCAATCCCAGGCTTCTGCAGCCTACTGGAGGTGTAAAAAAAACGTTTGCAGGTGACTTTATGTTTTTGACATTCCATAACTTCGGTTTTGGTTTTTCTTTTCTTCTTTCTTGTATCAGCTACTGTGGCTATATTTCTGAGTGTTTGTTAAATTTAAAGTTCCTTGTACAAATTGATGTCAAAAGAAAAAGTGTGCATAGCTGTTCCCTTTACAGATTGGTGGATTTCTGGGTATAAAAAGAAAAATCAGGGCTAACTCATAAAAATAACCAAATCCCTTGGTGCGTTGGTACTGAAAATATTTGATGTCATTTGTTAAACATGAACCCTTTTAAAAGAAACACACACACACATGAACGTGATGGCTCTAGTAGTATA